TTTTGATAGTGCTGCATCTATAATTTGCATATTATAATTTTCCCTGCATGGGTTGCAAATGTAAGTGACATTTTTATCTTCTGTTGCATGTGATCTAATGCTCCTAACTCTACTGTTTAGTAGTAGTTTTCTACTGATTTCCAATGAATATAGATGAGAATTTATCTTTTTTCCAACCAAAATTTATTCCAGTGATATTCAGATAGGAAATGGATGCAATTTCCTCAAAATCAGCGAACGACAATATAAAATTAGGAAGAAAAACATATCAAAACTATTTTTATTAGAAGATATATGAAAGAAAATAGCAAGACACAATTGGATCTTCAATTGGAGAGGAGGATCCGGCTCTCCCAAGTCCCTAGCCGACGGCTAAAGCCCAAATAACCCAAGAATAAATAAATTCAGCAAACTCCCAAAGGCATAATCTGAAATCACGTTACTGTTAGCCTTAAATAGGCTCCCATAATTTCCTCCCAAATCAATCCCCTTTCCCTAAATAATTCCATTTCATATTTGAATTCAAATTAGATTTATTTCCCAAATTAATTTCCTCCCAATTGTAATTAAAACTTTCCTAAACAATCCCCCCTTAATTCCTCCTCCTTTTCCCTTAATAAATTCCTCTTAGATTTTGAATTCAAATTTGATCTCTTGCTTAAATAATTCCCTCCAAATTGTAATTTAAACATTGCTAAATAATTCCCCTTTGATTAAGAACCTTCCTAAACAACTCTTTTTTTATTAGGAAACTTCCTTATTCTCTCCCAATCAAATCTACCGGTCCATCATATTCCTAAATAAGATATTTATGAGAGATTAACTAGTTGTCTTCGGCTATTTAGATGACTAAAATAAGAAGAGAGCTACTATGATTTTTCATTATTGTTGGTTCTCTTTGAAAATTTTTAGTTTTAATATTTCTTCATAGATTGCCTACATTTTGGAATTTTTTTTTTTTTTATTTTCTGGATGATTTATAGGGTTGGAGTTGTTTGCTTTTTTGCCACTTTCTTCTTGGTTGTAGCGGAGACCATCTTCTTTTCAAAAGGATACATCGCATGTTTTATTTCCATTCTTGTTGGATCAATATTGGTGAATGACCTTTTGGCTTTGGATGAGACACTCCATGTTGAAGGAAACCTTTAGCTTCAGAAGGAGTAGAACCTTAATGGCTTTGATATCATCTTAAAAATTAAAATAAGCAAAGAAAGTAGACAATGAGAGATTGGATGAGAGAAATGTATTCTCCTTTTTTGTGTTAAAAAAGGAAGATGTACATAAATGTGTGAAAAAATAATTTATTGGATAGAAATTAATAAGGAAACTAGTTTTCAATTCTAGATTTTAAAATTAACTATACAATAGAAATGCAATATTATTCGCAAGTTGTTGGTTTGCTATAGATGGAAAGTTGTGCATTGATTGTTGATGTAAAGCTATTATCCATGGATTGCTTGATTGATATCGTTAGAATGGTGTTTGCCACTAATTCAAGATTCTTTCAAATTCTTTTGTGGAAATGATTATAATAATTCCCTCTTAAAGATCTTAGAATTGAAATATTTTTTTTCAAAAATAATTGAAATATTTATTTATTGTATGTTTGTGTGAGGAGAGATGATTGGATATTCGCCAGATTAGTTAGTGTAACCCTTTATGACTCGTCACACAATTCTTATTAGTTAACCCTTCTTGAAATGTTATTAGTTAACCTTTCTGTTCATTGAATGTTTACGTGATTCCTGAGTAATCACATGATTTATTTTATGAGGAGAGTTCTGAGTGTGGTTTCATTTAAGGAGAAAGTTATTTAGGACTGAGAACATATTCTCTAAGTTATTGAATGCCTATTTGTAGTTACTTGAGTCGAGTTAAATTTCTAAGTCTGGTAGAATTGGTGGTTAATCCACCAGAGGGGCCAAGGTATTCTTGAGTAGTTCGAGTTGAGTTATAAAGATGGATGGATCGTCTAATTCAAAAGGATTGGAACTATATTTATTTATTGTATGTTTAGTTGATTGTTGATCCGTAATCTCGAGGCAGTGCTTAAGCTAGTTTAGGATCTCTGTCATTTTAGTTATGAATGAGGAACACAAGCGCATTTCAAGATTTTATTAGAGGTTTTAAACTTCAATAATGTAGAGATTAAAAGATATGCATTTTTTAATTTTTAATAATTTCGATGAACTTTTGTTACACATTATGTTAGATATTATCATTTTACTATGTTTCATTTTTTTTTAATTTGTAGATCTAATCAATGAATATAAGTTACTATAACTGTCATACTAAACAAACATTTCATAATCTTTCAAATTGTTTTTATGACTTCTATCCAAGTTTTATATCTAAAAATCTTAATGATAAATTTGGGTGGTAATCCTCCTTTATGCATATTTTTAGATTAATCTCTCTAGAATATGCAGATATTTCAGGATTTTTAATTGTATATAATTATTTTTCGGTGTTTATATTTGATGCTTTAAGGATGCATGTCATCTAGTGCTAAGTATCGATGAGATTTTTTTTTGTTCTAGATTTGGAGTTATCTAGTCGCTATGGCCTAAGATGCCCGTGCTCATATTTATCTAGTGAGATTTGCAATAGTTGACTTAGAAATTAATATCTCGTAGTTGTATTTCATGGTTAGATTAACAGAATCAATAGGCTTAGTATAGAACCTAGTGTTCGTTTCTAATCAATGTAATAAGATCACTAAAGCTTTATCTAAAATATTTCTAGAGACATCATGGTGCATGTAATTGTCACATGGGGATAAATATCATGAAAAATTTTTAAACTGATCATTGTCATGTGGAGCATCAGTTGACACCAAAGCTTATAAGAGGGCTAAGTTTCATTGACAATTTGATTAAATTAGGATCAATTAATTTGACATTGCTACATTTTGGATAATCAATAGATTTTGAAAGGTGGGAAAATTTTCTCTAAAAATTAATATATTTTAAGGATTATTGATGTTTCATAGAGTTTAACTAATATTACCAAAAGTGCATTTTAATTTTGTTTCAGAGAGTTTTAGTAATATTACCAAAAGTGCATGTTATTGAATAACCACTTGGATAGTGTTCCTCAAATTTATGACAAATGGTTCTTTGAAAGGTGCATCCTCACAATGAATGTTAAATCTTCTTTATCAAAGGAGATCGATGAAACATTGGATATTCTCCTGACTAAGGCTCAAATGTTAATTGTGTATCCTATCGGCTAGTTTGAACTACCTGTTGATGTTGATCTGTATGGTGAAGTTGATCTGAATAGGATGACACACACTTCTAGAAATTTTATGTAGTGGGTCTACTGTGTGAACATGCATTTGCTAGAACTCTTGATTGGGGTGTAAGCTAATATAGCCTTTGTTTAAGGTTTTAAACTCAAGAGGCTTGGTTAGGTTTGTATTCTGGAAATATATATTTAGCAAGATATCAGGATAGATGGGATGTGTCAGATGAAATAAAGGGTATTGTCATGTTGCCTCTAATAGTGAAGTTGAAGAGTGATTATCCAAAGAAAAATAAAAGACCTTCAAATTGAGAAAGTTTGTCATGTTGCCTCTAATAGTTCCCAGGTTTTTTTTTTTTTTTTTGTTAAAGTTTGTTTTTATCTTTTGGCATGTCATTATAGAGAAAATGAAATCTTTAATCTATTTTGAACAATATAATGTGCATTTAAACTTCAGTAGTTCCATTTAATAATGATCTTACACCAAAGCAAATTTCAGAAGTTCCATCTGAGATTTGGGAACAATATGCAATAAGTATTAGTTTAAAAGTTTCTTAATTTATTAGAATTGTTATTGTATCTGCAATTTTCAATTTATTAGCTTTGTTGCTATCTTATTCAAACCGTGTTCAAATAATGGACGAAGAAAGTTTGTGCTAAATAAATAGTCGAATCGTGTTTGAACCAATAAGGGAATGAAAGAAAGGTTTTGGTGCCAACCCTATTACAAAGGATCAGTGGTGACGACCAAGTTGGAGAGCAGGCATTGTTGGTATTATCTGGATGGAAGACATAGATGATGGTGTTGACGGGCTGATGGAGCTAGCATAGACGATGATGAAGCAGTTGTGAGTAAGGTTTTCAAATCTTGTTCAAACAAGCTTGAACCAGGTTCAAATCATATTCAAGGTTTTGGCTTCCCTAGCTCCTCAATCCTCAGCTTTCATATGAATTTTGGCATTATGTAGGTCCAAAAAGTACTTTGAAGGATATTTGCCTTAAAAAAAAGGGGGGGGGGGGGGTGAAGAATTTTTGCTTTAAAAAGGAGGGGGGGGGGGGGTATTTGTCCCAAAAAAAGCACATTGAGGGATAAAAAAGTCAAATTTCCCATATTTAATAGATTGCATTGGGATGTATTTGAAATCATGGCTACATCCTGAATCATACCTTTTAAATGAAAATTGAGATTTTCTTATGGGCTGAAAATGTGAACACTCCTGTAATTTTACCATGAGATAACATGGGGGGGGGGGGGGGGGGGGGGGGTATTTGTCCCAAAAAAACACATTGAGGGATAAAAAAGTCAAATTTCCCATATTTAATAGATTGCATTGGGATTTATTTGAAATCATGGCTACATCCTGAATCATACCTTTTAAATGAAAATTGAGATTTTCTTATGGGCTGAAAATGTGAACACTCTTGTAATTTTACCATGAGATAACATCCGTTGGGGGGAAATGTTTGGAAAGAATTCTTGTTTCTTGTTACGCAGTTTATTTTTTTATTTTTTTACAATAAAGTTTATGCCTTACTTATGTTACACAGTTTAAACTGCATCTACAAGGATTCTCTGGGAACTATTGAACTTTAACACTGTTTTTTTTGCATTATTCTGCACTGCCATGCATGCTATAGTCTGATCTCTGATTTTGTTTTTAACTTTCTGCTGGTTAGGTATCTGCTTTTTAAGATGCATGATATATCTGCAGTAATCCTAACTGGAGTTTATTTACAATTTATTACTTCTGCAGCTTCATGGGATGCTGTGGCGACTTGCTTCTTCCTGGATACTGCACATAACATTGTTGAGTACATCGAAGTTATATCAAAAATTCTTAAAGATGGGGGTGTAAGTATATTTCACATAATGAATGAACATAATTCTTAAGTTTACTATTCTATTACCATACTTCCATCTTTCCTTCATTTTTGAACAAATTATATTCAAATGGATTTCAAACCTAATAGTTTCCGTCCAATCATTCTCCTTATCCTCCAATGAATGACTCCGTCCACCTTTTCTAAATTTGTAGGTCTGGATAAACTTGGGTCCTCTGCTTTACCATTTTGCAGATGCATATGGGCCTGAAGAGGTTTGTAGAGAGTTTCAATTACCTCAGTCTCCTAATCCTCAGAATATGTGGCTAGAAATTTGTTTGATTAGTTGCTCTTTCTTTGATATATAAAATTTTACCTTTTAGGAAATGTCGATTGAGATCAGTCTAGAAGATGTCAAAAAGGTTGCTTTACAATATGGGTTTGAGTTTGAGGTGATTTGTTAACTTTCTGGAATTACTTATGCCTTTATAAAGTGCAATTCATCATATGTATAATTCCTTGCTTGTTCTGTGAACCCCACAGATGGAGAAAAGCATTGAGACAACATACACTGCAAATCCCCGATCTATGATGCAGGTTTGCTAATAACTTATTTTAGGAATTTCAATGTTTAAACATTATGAAGTACTCATTTTTTTAGTGTATCAACATGAGTCAAAGTTGCAATTATCCTTTACATATGCTATAGGACTTTGGTAAAGTTAAAACCGAATTAAATACCAAATATAAATTTTTTTCTGCCATTGCAATATATCTGTTGTTTTTTTATGATTAATTATTTGTTTTTTTGGAAAATAATTTTACGGATGAGAAGTTTACCATACCCCATCATTCCGCCCTACCACGTCATAGTAACATATTATGGTCCTTCCTCTAATTGCTCCCCCACCTTCAACTTTTGCTCTCCTCTGCCCCTCCCATTCATCTTTATTCCCTATTTCTCGCTTTCCAATGTGTCTCCTTCGCTGTGTCAATGGACTTCACTGTCAACCTTTGAGCATTGACGTCATTCCAATCTCCCTCATTGATTTTAAGTAGGCCCTGCAAGAGCCCCATTGAGAAGCCATCCATTTTCCCCAGAACCAGACAGCCTGTTGAAGCATCAAGATGGCTCTAGTCAAATTGACCGGTGGAGCTTCTGTTAAGGATGGTTACCGGAAACAATTTTCTGTTCTTAGAAGAGTTCGGTTATAAATTCATTTAGCGGACTAGTTAAAAACTGTTAGGGGCCTGCTTGCTTTCGATATCAAACTTAAGGAGCCTACATTTATACCTTGTCTAACAGCAGAGAGACCAGCTTTGCAAACCATCATAAATACAAAATTGGACACTGGCTCTTAATGATAGATATGCTAATATATTTTCACTAAGCTATTTAATGCTTTTTGGTCGACTATTTGTTTAAATTTTTCATATTTAAAGGCTAAATTTTTTTTCTTTGATCGACTTGTCATAGGGGTGCAAACGAGTCGAGTCGAGCTCGAGCCAGGGGGTGTTCGAGTCGAGCTCGACTGCCAAATACTGAGCCGCGACACGCTCGACCCGAGCTACTCGACGAGCCAACGAGCCGATCCGCCTAGTGTCCGAGCTCGAGCTCGTTTAGCATTCGAGCTCGAACTCGTGTTCGAGCTCGACTCGCGAGCTCGATAAGCTCGGCTCGTCGAGCCCATTAACGAGTCGAGCCCGAGCCGGCTCGCGAGCCGGCTTGACTCGATTGCACCCCTAACTTGTCATGACTTTTTATGCATGTTGCCTTTACAAATGTGTCTTTTTTTCAATATTTTCAAACATTTCTTACTTCCCAATTTCTTTAAAAAATGCCTTTTTTTGTGTCTCTACGTATTACGCATGTAAATAAGATGTTTAGATTCATTATATTTTCAAAAACTTGTGCAATTGATTGATGATAATGTTGATCATTGTTGGATTGCAGAATCATTACTATACCGCCTTTTGGACTATGAAGAAGAAACCAAGGAAATAATTTGTTGCCTTTGAAAGGTATCAGAGTTCTATCAGTATTTCTTATACATTTACCGGTCAAGCTAAAAACCTCATAAATTATATTAGATGTGATTAAAATCATCTATCGTTTCTTATGTTGCGATGGATAACATCTTTCTCATTGTGGATCCCATTAACTATTACAAAAATTATTATTGGACCTCAGCTGTTGCTAATAATCTATGTTTAAGCAAGGGAAATGGTCCTTGTCGTGGCAGAGACAGCTCGAGTTTCGGAATTCTACTGAATCTACTTGTCTCATGAGCTGGTTTGAGCTCGATGCATTAAGTGCTGGCAAGTAAAACTTGTCGAGCGAAGTTTGATTCAACTGTAGCTCGTAAGCTAGCCTGTTTTAAAAGTAAAATCTTGAATATATTTGCAAATGTCTTATTTATAAGGTTTAGAAAAAATCACAATTAATTAAGAATATTTAAATCCTTAATCACTTCCCTTGCCCAAATTCCTTACCTAGCAATCCTCTCTGATTATTTGGTCTCGCCTTCTAGCTTCTTCTCACATGAATCTCTGTTTTGGTGCTTCTATTGTTAAAATCACCACTTAGGCCTTAACTAGCACCACCTTTCATTGGTGATGATTTGATAGCAAGTTCATATCATCAAATGTTGCTATTGATGAAGTTTTCTCTTTTATGTGGATGCATAAGAGAAAAACTCTACTTCAACTCTCAATAAAATGAGAACAATGAAAAAGGAGACTTCTGATGACTCCTTGATTCACGATTTCTTGATGTGGTAGAGAGGGACTTCTAATAGTATAGAGAGGGAAGTCTTAATGAAGATGTGTCACGTCCCAAGATCTAAGTAGAAGAACATTTATTTTATTCTTTTTTATATATAATCATTCATCAACCAAATCAATACAGATATCCAAAGCGGTAAAGAAAATCAATAAAATGTGAAAAACATAATTTATGCTACTACTATTAATTTTATAATCTACAACTAGAGTCCAAAACTATATATACAATAGCCACACTGGCTGCAAAAAAAGACAAACCAAAATTTGGCATAAACACTATACTAGCATCAGTACACAGTCTCAAGTTGCGGATTTCTTACTTGAAATCATTTAAAACCATATAATGAACATAAAAGCCTAGCAAACAACTAGAATTCCATCACTACTTTCAATGCAGGGCAACAAAAATTAATACATATTTTTAATTCTAGTCATTATCAATCATTACTTAATATGAGCAATAAAAATATATGATATTAATAATAAAATCAAGTTGATTCAATAAAGGATAGCCCATCCGTCGGTGTAATTCGGCTAGTCGGTTACAAGTTTCAACTAGGATTATGATAGGAAGGACTTGTAGATCTCAAGTATTTCCTATCAATCTTCGGAAAACAGCGAGCTTCTGCACGAAAATTTGCAAAAAAAAAAAAAAAATCACGAAAACAATAGATAATTTGTTTTATTTGATGAAAGGGAAATGGAAAATAGCAAGATACAATTGATCCTCTATTCGAGAGGAGGATCGATCTCTCCCAAATCTCTAGACGTCGCTAGAGCCCAAAAGAAAACCTAAATCTAAAAGATCTCAAATTTCAGTCAAATTCAAGATGACCTAACCCTAGTAAAACAAAGTATTTAATGCATACAAATCAAAAGGAAATCCCTAAACAATCCCTACATTCAAATTTCCCTCTTAATATCCACAAAAAACTTTCCTTAATGGCTCTAGCGGATTCGGGCGTGTGTTCGGCGTCAGATATCGCGTACATGAGGCGGAAGGTTCCGCCTTCTTACGTGTGAACCGGTCTTGTCAGACCAGTTGGACCGGTCCCGTTAGACCAGTTAGACCGGTCCAATTGACCTATCTAACAATGCTCCCCTCCCAAAGATCCACCTTGTCCGCAAGGTGGAAAGACGACAATCTCCTCCATTCCCTCTTCATCACAAAAGGTAAGAAACTGAAGGTTCGATCCTTACACCTGTGCCCCGGCGTGTACTTCTAATCACATCTGAAACAGAGCCCCTTCACCCTCTTCTCCTATAATTTTGTCTCTGTGAGCTTCTTGAAGTTGTCCCCAGGTCTTCCTTCTGCAGTCTTTTCCTTCGAAGTCCCGCGAAGAGTATCCGTTGTTGGATCCTTGGATTTCAATAAGGTGGTGGTCATTCTGTACGAGCCTCTTGAGTTGTTGCCTCCTGTCTCTCCTTCCAGGTGCCTCTGATCTTCTACGAATTGAGCTAGGTCCTTAGCCTCTCCCAAGTCACGAGGCATCATTACTCTAACCGCTGCTCGGATCTCTGGTGTTAATCCCTTCATGAAGTTCCCCTCTAGCACTGTCTCAAAAAGGTGGTCCAATCGGCTAGCAAGATACTCGAATCTCTCCCAGTACTCCATTGAACCCTCCTGTGTCAATGCAAAGAATTGCTCGTAGAAGTCTCCTCCCCTACCTGTTTGAAAATGTTCCACCAAACAATCCTTGAACTCTCCCCAACTCCGTATGGGTCGTCGCATGTCCCTTCACTGATATCAAGACAAAGCCTTCCCTTCTAAACATAGGCCCGCCGCCGTCAGTCTCTCCTCCTCTGTTAGCCCATTGAAGGCAAAATATCTTTCTACCTTGTAGATTCACCCATGCGCATCCTCCCCCTCAAAGATGGGCATCTTCAGTTTCCTCACCCTCGGGTCACACCCATTTCCCATAAATCCTCCATAACCTCCAATTCCTCAAAGCGGAGGTGTTCCCCAATTGTCACGATCTTTCCTCCGGCGATCATACCCGAACCATTCATCAAAATCCTCTCTTCTTCTTTCAAAATCAACACCCCGTTGATCGAAATCATCCCCTCTCCTTACAAATTCATCACCCCTTCTTGTGTAGCCAATTCTCATCTCCTCCCTAGAAAGTTGTTCTAGATGAAGCATTCTGTCTTCTCCCTCTAGGATCTCCACTTCTGGCTTTTTCCTTCCCCTAGACGTGTCAGCGCTCCCATATTTTCCATGGCCGCCGGTATTTTTCTTTGCTTCCGATGTCACCGGTTTGGTTTTGACTTCAAGCAATATCTTCAACATGTCTTCCACCACGGCGAACTTTTTCGCCATCTTTTCATTGACGAATGCAATCTGACTTTGAAAATTAACCATCTTTTCCTCAAAATCTACTTTGAGTTGCCCAAGTTCTCCCTCCAAATCTTCCACTTTTCTACCGGCCATTGGTTCCCCTTCGATCGACGTGCTCTGATACGAATTTGATATGAAGTACTTGTAGATCTCAAGTATTTCCTATCAATCTTCAAAAAACAACGAGCTTCTACACAAAATTCAGCAAAAAAACACGAAAACAATATATAATTTGTATTTAATGAAAGGGAAACATAAAATAGCAATATACAATTGATCCTCTATTCGAGAGGAGGATCGATCACTCCTAAATCTCTAGACGCCGCTAGAGCCCAAAAGAAAACCTAAATTTAAGAGATATCAAATTTCAACCAAATTCAACATGCCCTAACCCTTGGAAAACAAAATATTTAATGCATACAAATCAAAAGGAAATTCCTAAACAGTCCCTACATTCAAATTTCCCTCTTAATTCTCCCAAAAAAGTTACCTAAATGGCTCCAACGGATTCGGGCATGCGTTCGACTTCAGATATCGCGTACAGGAGGCAGATGGTTCCACCTTATGCGTGAACCAGTCCCGTCAGACTGGTCTAACAGATTATATCACTAACATTTTATTTAAAGGAAAGTACGTCGGCCTACTCTCCCGCGCAGGGTATTGTATTTTAAGAGCCAACTCATGTTCATTATAAGTGTTAGCAGCTAGCCTTCCTTGCTTACATGCAAATTTTATTTTTTTCTATACAAGATAAGTCAATATCATGTATGAAATGCAGAAATATATAAATACAAGGAAATCTATCAAATTTGTCTGTTTTGCATTTACTTTAACAAAATCATAACTTCAAATTTAACAAATGAAAATTCAATATATTCTTGTCAAAATAATCATATTAATGACGTTTATCACATACAAAAAGTGATGCGGTGAAAGTTTTACCAATTTGATCAAAAAATATCTAAAACATAAAATTATTGAAATCACAAATAGATAATGGTTACTTACAACGAGACGAGCAATTATCCCAACAAGACCGAGTGGTGAAAATCGCCTCACGACCTTCAAATCCTCATTTCTATTTTCTCTCTCACAATTCTCTCAAAATTTCTAAACCAAGTCTCTGTTTACAGAAATGGATTTTAAGATAATAGATTTGTGGTTTAAGATATTTAATAATAAATATATATATATATATATATATATATATACATTATATTAGCTGCCAACTTGCTTGGAAAGCTTTATATTTTCATTGTAATATAATTGGTGTACGCTTTGCATGCATCCCTTTTCATGGAGTGGGATTTACTAGCTATATAGAAACAAATAATGAAGAAAAGCTAGCAGTAGGTATCCTTCAAATAAGCCTTCATTTTGGAATCCTCATTGTTGAGCAAGTATTTGTGTTATTTTAGTACAATGTTTAAAATAAAACTAATTGTGGTTGTCATTTAATGATCATACTCTACATGTTAATTTAGGTTGCAAAGAACTCTTCCTTAAAGAGTCGAATGGGGCACATGCCTTGATAAGCTAATGTTGATGAGGGAAGTGGTGTTGCAAAATACTTGTATAGAGCTCCTAGATCTTAGAAGTTGGTATGGAATAAAGTTTGAGGGTGTGGAGGAGTTTGATGCCCACCATCAGAAACTAATATACCTAAAGTGAACTTCTCCTCCTATTCAATTTCTCTCCTAATCTTCTTCTCTTGTAGGTTGTGATACAAACACAAGTAGTCGTGCAAAGCTATCTGTCATCGCTTAGTAAACGTAGAACTTGAGTTTTGATTTTCTATGCTTTCTAATCTCATTGTTAACATAGGGATGTTATTGGAAATCTACTTAGTTTGCATACCATGAAATTCTACTTCATTTAGTGATATTATCTTTTAGCATGTGATTTGGCCTAAGTGAAGCCACCTCTCTTTCGTTTTCTACTATCGTTTATTGGCTAACGTTTGTAATTCTTAATTACTCTCATTCAAAAACGTGCAAGCTCTTATCGCATTCATTTAGTTCATACTTAGTCCTGCATCACCTACTCTACTAAAATAACGATTAGTTTGATCCTCAGGATTTTAGAGCTGACTTATGGGATCTTTATGGTTTGTTTGGGCATATGATAAGCACAAAACTCTCTCTTGATTCCACTAACACTTTAAACCCTAAAATCTCAAAATATACCATTTGTAAAAAAATTCTTTCTAAAAGCTTTCCCAAGGATTTGTTTTTGAGTAGTTTGAGCAAAATTCTCCTTCAAGCTTATGAATCAAACTTTCTAATCTTCATGCAAGCTTGGAATTGTAATCTGCTACAATGTCGGATTATAAGATTGATCTCATTTGTGTTTTAAATTTTCATTTTTGCATCTCTTAAAAGTTCTAGAACTTACTTAATTGTTGCTTATTTCTTTTTTTTTTTTTGATGTACTTGATCATTTGACCTGGAACTTTCTTGCACAGCTGTGACCATTGACAATCATCAGAACTTCAAAAGGTGTGGATCTTCATGTGGTCGACCTTCAAGTTTTTTAAATGATAGCCATTTTATCGTTCACTTCAGTATATATCTTCCTTGGCAGGTCTGCAAATTCAAAATGTTTAAGTATTACATGGGCATGGTAGTTCAAATCAGTCTCCCTACAGAGCTTTGGTAACAGGATAGAAGCTACCTGGAGGCCTGAACTTGGGTGATAAGCAGTAATCCTTTACTTTTCATTTCCTACTACAAAATTATTTTATCTGGTATTGTGGTTTAACTTTGTGTGTGCAATTCATGTTATTGACGTCAATTCTTATGTTTTTTCAAATATATACTATTCTGAATTCTTATGAAATTCCTTCACATTTGGTTGCTTGTAAACATGGAAAGCATGTTTTAATAAATGATTGTGAAAATGAAATCCCTTCTAAGAATTTTAGAATTAAAATTTCATATGGTTTGTTAAGCTTATCTAAAGAAATAATAAAGTTTTTAAAAAATTCAAAACATTATTTTTTTAACTAAAAGCAATCAAATATGGCCCAAGGTTTTATCCGGGACGACTATCTTACTGCTTCTTAAAGTTATTTAAGCAGCAGTAAAAAGTTGTTCCAAAAACACCTAAGCCGCCTGCTAATGAAATCAACAAGTTATTTTTTTTATTTGATATTTGTGTTTTTAATAATCCCTTCTTAAAAATTAACAATAAAAAAGCTGCCCAAACTACACTCAAGCATTAGATATGTTGTAGCAATAGTTGAAGATTAAGTGGTTATTTAATTTTAGTGTAAAAATTTTAATTTTTTTATTAAAATTTCATTTTAAGAAGCAATAAAAAAATCAGTTCTAAACTGAGTCTTAGCTTTCTATTTAAATCTGCACTTTGAAAGTTACTAAAATCCCTTAACAAAAAACTTTCTTATGGGAGCTTTCGAAAATCAGATCAGATCATTTGGTGCAACTATAAGCTGGTCATAAGATCTGTTTGGTCTATTATTAAAACCGGCTCTGTATTGAATCAAATTGAACTAGTCAAAATTTTTAGTTTAATTCACATATTAATTTTGATAATCCTTCTCTCATATAGAGTCGCACATTGATTTTCACTCTCCTATAACAAGCAATTTATAAAACAATTTGAGTTCATGGATCAAAAGTTGAATCATAAATTTGGAGCATGTGTGCTACAGTAAAGATAGCCAAGTCTCATGGATGCCACAAGCATAAAGCATTTGGTCCTAGCTAAAGTATTAGTTCTAACACTTGTACGTGTTGGCCCATAGTAGCTATTAGAAACTCAAATTTTTGCTTAACATTCAATATATGATTAATCTATAATCTTGTACATTGCAATTTGGTTGGAGGTTATTGCTTCATTTGGGGCGGCTTTTTTCTGTTTCTTAAATCAGTATTTTAGTATAAAAATTCTAATTTTTGTACTAATATGCTGCTTTATGAAGCGGTAAGAAAGTTGTTCCAAACGAAACCTATGTTGTCAAAATCACAAGCAAAGAAGTTCAAAAATGATTTGTGTAAGAGTTATTTGATACGATTGAACCTGAATGGAAAAACTATTGAAAAAGAATTAGTATCATTCTCATCCTCATTAATTTTATCCTAATAATGGAAAATCCAATTTAAAGGTCCCAAGTCCTGGATTAAAAAAGTGGAGGGTTGAGTTAGGTAGTCAATAGCCAACGTAAAACTTGTCGAATAATCATGAAATAACGGGACACAATGGCGAAAAAGGATTCATGTAGCTGACCCCACGTAGTGGGACAAAGGCTTGATGTTGTTGTTGTTGTTATAACAATGTGAAGTCCGATTTAAAGGGTATAATGAGCAATACATAAGAAATAAGAAATCAATATAAAAAATCTTATACTCCTACCTCAACATATTATGACAAACCATTTTTATGAATACATGTCATGTAAAACATAACTGAAAACGATACAATCTTAAACCAAAAGTAAGCAATTCACATAAACTAGGTTTAATGAGGGACAATTATCCCAACCTTCAAAGAATCACAACCATTATAAATCTGCTATGAAAAAGAATCAACTACTCTTCTTAGTTTTCAAAGCAGGTGGCAAAGTCCCAAACACAAAATCCCACAGTGAAGAAGTGATCCCAAAACCTTTATTCTGAATTCTGAAGTGATGACTAACATGATAACGCTGGTAAGAAGGGAGAAAAAAGTATTAGAGATTTTGTTCATGTCAAGAACTTGAGAGATTATTACCTGCGGTGTCCGGACCGTTCGGAGGCGAATCCGGACGTGCCATGTCACCCGGATGCATTGGGCCCTGGGTGACGTGGCAAGTCCGGATTCGCCTCCGGACGAATCCTGACGCCGCACATAATAATTTACCCGAAAACTTCAAGCTGATCACTTGTTCATATTTCATATCATACCTTGAGATACCGAGCTGGCTGGTTGGATGGTGATCCATGGTGAAGATAGTAATGAGTGCAATCATAGATCACATAGCCCAATAAGCCACCAGCAAATATAGCAGGAGTAGCAACAGGGGTTGATAGAAGCCTAATTAAACCCCAAAACTGTAGCAAACACCCCAAAAAAATGGAAATGGAAGGAATCAGTATGAATTGATTGCATTTATAACATGGAAGAAAATCATTTGGCATTGCCATCTTATATTGATGATAGATTGTATTTAGTAGTGCAGGCTGTGTTGTTTGAGCTAAAGAGTTGACTGATTGATAAACTCTTAATAAATACTGAAGTAAACATATATATTATCATGAATTTCATATATTTGTAATAAAAGAGCCTAATCTAAACCAGTAAGCATTTAGGCTTCATTTGGGATGGCTTTCTTACTGCTTCGTAAAACAGCTTTTTAGTACAAAAATTATATTTTTTGTGCTAGAAAACTACTTTATGAAGCAGTAAAAAAGCCATCCCAAACGAAGCCTTAATTAAAATAAATAAAAAACTAGAATATTTAAATGTGCTTTTCTGAGAAGCTGCTAAACTAGCGTTCAAAGAATGCTGACTATTAGCCTTCATAATATGACTTCTTCTCAAAATGTTCTAGAAATTGCTTCTGCTGTTAAAAAAAAGAATAATCAAGAAGTGGAAGTATGTTAATCGTTGCATAACTTGACTATGACTCCACGAACATAGTTATATTTTCCTATATTCCTTCTATATTTCAACTTGTTGGTAAGTGCAATAGACTTAACTGGAATGCATATAATAGCAGCTGCAGCAGGGGGAAAAACAAGGCGCAGGCTATCCATTGGGTGCTTATGATGACATCCATGAAGCAGATAATGCATTGTATTTGACCTGCATTTGGTTCATGATGAACCTTTTATTTAGTTTATTAAGCAAACAAGCAAAGGAAAATAAATAAATAAAACTAATGCCTTTTTGGGACGGCTTTCTTCTTGCTTTTTAAAACAGCTTTTTTATATAAAAATTTCTTTGAAATTTTGTAAAAGAAAGCCGTTTCAAAAAGCAGTAAGAAAGTTGTCCCAAACGAAGCCTAAGGCTTTATTTGGGACGGCTTTCTTACTGCTGCTTAAAAGCAGCTTTCTAATACTTTGTGCTTAAAAGCTGCTTTAAAAATAATAAGAAAACTACCCCAAACGAAAGTGTAAATCACTTGATAATAATCAAAGAATAGTGACCTACCAATAATTTTTTGTACTCATGTGGAAAATGAATCTATGCAAAGAGTACTCCACTAATGTCCATATTAACATTCCAACCATGACTAGTAGAGGAGCTTGAGTAATTGATATTCCCATGCGAATAGCCATTACCAAACAGCAGCTCACTACTGGAAGCCATACAAGCGGAATGATCCACCATTTTGTGCGTGTCAAAAACTAATAATTTGAATAAATAATCCAGTTAAAAAAATCGTTTCAAGTAATAAAGTATGCTCTCTATTTGCTTTTGTTAATGAGAAGCAAATTTACCTCCATGATATCATTTTCAAAAAGCCGTGGACCTTCCTTGCTGACAATAGGCTGATGAACCCATTCTTGGTAACCTTCCCCGAGATGTCCAACCTGGTTAGAAAAAGAAACGAAATGATGAATGAAGAAGAAGATTCTGCTCTTGATAGAGAGATCATTTGTGTAACTTGTAAGGGTTATTGGTTCACTATTATTAAGAAGTCATTACTATTAAAATGCCAGTGGTATATGCTAGATATTGTGCCTGATTCAGCATTATTATATTTAAAATAACTAGAAAACCAATAGCATGATTGTTGTGTTGTAAAAACATAAACATAAGAGTATTGTTTTTTTTTTTTTTTTTACTACAGGTTTCCGGCAGAATATCCTCCTGAAATTGAGAGACAATGAAAATGTATCGTATTTCCGGCGGAAATATTCAACCAAAAATTCCGTCGGAAACATTCCGCTGGAAATTCCGGCAAATAACTCGTTAGAAATTTACATCGGTCTGTGTTCGACGGACTTTTCCGACTAGTTATCCGCTGGAACTTTCAGCATAACATTTTCGCCGAAATGTCCAGCGGATAAATCACGGGTAATAGTAACTCTTAAACGACGAATAATACCACTATAACCCGTTGGAATTCCGTAGGTAAATCCGCCTGAAATATTTCTGGCAAAAAATATTCCACTAGAACAAGGTTTCCGAGGCACGTTTTACCATCGACTGCATTTCCACCGGATTTACATTTCCGCTAGAAATCGGCTGAAAATCCAAATTTTCTAGAGGAATTTTACGATTTTCGGCAAATTTTGGCAGCCGGTATCACTCAATTTTCCTGTAGTGATATATGTCATTCAATTCAACAAACAATTGTTTTATTTTCCTTATCATGTTAGGAGAGTATATGTATTAGATCTGACAGTCTATATTAAGAAAGGTAAATGTAGACCTAAAAAAATTTTGGTTAAAAATTATTAGAAATGATTTTTTATTAGATTTAAATGAGAATTTAACTCTTAATAGGACAGAATAGAGAAAAAAGATTCATTTAGCAGACCCCACATAGTGAGATAAAAGCTTCTTGCTATTGTTATTGTTTTATGCTTTAAGCATAAATCAATATAAGCAGAGGCATCAAATCATTCTAAACTAGCTGCAATTTCTCATGTTAGAGTTACTAACTTATATTTGCAATAACAAAGAATCACCTTAAGCTTTTTTTTTTTTTCTTCTTTAAATAATTATTCTAGAAAGATGATGTCAAACAAATAGTGAATGTCAACAGCAAACTAAACAGGGCAATATCTAAATGTAGACTACCTGAAAAACAAGAGGCTTGTTCAAGTCCACATTAAACTTCTCTGCAACCATAGTGATTCGTGTGCTGGATGGAATAAACAACGAAGGGCCCTTTAGTACTTTAACTATCCAATTCCAATCAATATATACTAAAAAAAATAAAAGAAGATTTTTTAGTTATAACCAGCAGCATTAATGGACGTCCCATGCCAAAATTCAATTAAAGCAAATGAAATCGACAGCAACATCCATTGAAGATAATTGAAAAAAAAAACCTAAATAGTTACAAATTCAAAATAAAAAAATAAGAGATCTACATACACACCAACTATTTTTTTATATATTTATTTATATCTAATATTTAAATATTTATATTTGCTTATATATTAATTTAATTTATAAAATATTTAGATTATAGAATATGGATTAGCAGCATAGATGATCATGAGTTGTATTTTCTATGTCTATTAAAGATTAATGTGTTATATAAATAAACAAAAAAATTTAGGCATTAAATAAATAAATACATATATAGTGAGATGTATGTGAATCATCCAAAAAAAATGCTAAATCTTAGGCTTCATTTGGGACTACTTTCTTGCATCTTTATAAAGTTGTTTTTTAATAAAAAATCTCTTGAAAGCAATGAATAAGCAGTGTTCTAAAGCTATCCCAAACAAAGCCACAGTCAACACCAAGCAGCTTGACGACATAGACTATAATCTTCCCACGTTCAGTTGGCCGTCAACTTTTTCTATGACAGTATAAGAACTGTAAAAATTCTAAACAATTATGGATGCAGATTATAATAAAATATCTATAATATTCTTTGAAGTTGTTAAACAAGGAGAAAAAAAAAGAATTCTTCTCTAAGCACAAATATTACTAAAATTCATAAACATGATAGCTCTCCCTCAACCATTAAGCCACAAATGGAAGCCGAAATCAAAGAAGAAAGCATAAGGAAGATAGAGAAAAAACTAACAAATACAAAACTTAAAAAATCCAAAACAAAAATCTATGATATCATCCTCCCCCCAAGCCCGCTCCCCACCGATTCATAATTTAGTCGAGAGGCGCTCCAACGAAGAAAACATCTTTCTACATCCAAAACACCAATCCAGCAGAAAAATCAACAATGCGGGCTCCCGAAACCAAATCCAACCCCCAAAACAGTGAAAAAGCTTCAAAATCTCCAGACCTAATGAAGAAACCAGCAAAAGAGAGATGCTTGTGCGCTCACCTTAATGAGATCTGGCGATGCGCTTCTGTTCTCCTCTTCTTCCCGACAAGCAAAGAAGAAGAGGAAAGAGAGGCGGATTTCGAGCTTGTAAGACGGAACGGCACAGAGAGATCGATGATTTCCTATAAATATATATTTAGTTCATTCACAGTTATTTGGGCGTCTAAATCCGTCAATTTCTTTGTGGTTTGCTTTAGATATAGACAGCGGGATTTCCGGGATGGAATCTCGGCCGTGAAAGCGAACGGAATGGTCGGTCCCCCATAAACGGCTTGGACCTGCCAGCGCAACCTGGCAGCATACAACTTGACGGAGGCTGACGCCGTCATCTAGCCGTTATAGCTGGGTTGCCTGCGCGTAAGCTCACTTACAGCTCTATGGACATCTTTCTATTACGAATTAATTTGATAATGAATAAAAATTTATATAAGCATATCATATTATTTTTATTACATGTATTTTTTTTCATTTATGATTTATTTGTTATTTATAAATATAATTAAATTATTAGATATTTCATAAATGTTTTCTTGCATTGAAGAAATTTCTAATTTTCTAATAATTTAGTTATATTATTTAATAATTTAGTTATTTTTGCTTTATTATTTAGTCATACTGTACTAATATATTTTGTTGAGCAATGATGCATGAAATTGAAGTCATGTATTTTAAAAATAAGCTTATTCTAATATAAAATATATTAGGATATTCAAACATAACTTTTTCTCATGAGTCTTTTTAATTTTTATATTATTATTATTATTATTAAAATGATGTCCTAGCTCATTTATATTGTATAAAAACATTTATGTGATCACAAGACAAAGCTATCAAATTAAGGATACTTAAAATATATAGTTCAAACAAATTAAACCATTTATATGTACAAAAATATATGACAAAATAGGGTCAATGTTGAATTAAAATGATGTATGTAACTTCCCATTACAAATGAAAATTCTGAGTTTATGTGTTACAGTACACATTGGGAAAATATTATCTTTATTTTTCTTAAGGAAATATATCTAAAAGTTAATTTCTGACAAATTTAGGGCTACAAATTGAAGATCATCACGAACAAAATTAGTTTGATCGAATTAGAACTCATCATCTCTTCAAACAAAATTTGAACCTACTCTTCACACTTGCTAGTCTCATGATGTCTATAATGTTGCACGACATCGATCCCAATATGCCTTTACCAATGAGCAATTACAATTATAAATAATCAAATGAATGCCCAAAGATGATCATTTGAGGATATCATGCTAAGATGAGTAATATTATATGATTTATTTGTAGCACACAAAAGGAATTAATTTAACCCTATAACTTTTTTTTTTTTTCAAATATAAACCCAAGCTTATGAAGTGGTTGTTGAAGAATGGCTTATGTTAGAAGATCATAATTTAAAGTCTAATGAGAGAATATTCATAGAAATCATGAATCTTGAATATATTGGAGGACTACAAACATAAAAGTTTGGGGTTATTCTTACCCAATATTTTCCTCAAAGTACTAACAGTCCACGTAACAACATTGCTTCTTATATGTGAAAGTTTTTAGTTTGTTTTTTTTTTTTTTTAATAACAAAAATTGATATTATTCCAATCAATAAAAAGAGGATACAAATAAGTCCAACAAGAGACCAAAATAAAATACAATTCAAGAAACTTCCTATAATCACCTAGAAGCTAGGCAAGGACTATTCAAAATAGGAAGTAAGTGACAACCCACAAAATCAGGGCCTCCAAAAGCACCACCAGTGGTTGCCAACAAACCACAGCCATCCAGGAGGTGAACAGAAAGTCGCCACATTATTGCCCAGCCCACGAAGAAAAAGCAACAACCTCAAAGGCAAGCCCCTAATCACCACCAAACGGAAAGACGACCCAATCCAAGCAGATCCCAATAGAAGAAAGACGACCCCCCAATCCAAAAAAAAAAATCTTATTAGATTTACGTCATCTACACTTAGCACTCTTTTTAGAACCACTATCCTCAGTAAATTGAGTAGTACTTAAATCAAAATTATCTCACGAATCCAAATCTTTCTCAATAATTTCCTCCCCACTATCTAAAGAATTGCCAATATGTAATCAGTCACCATGCATCACCTCATAATCCCTTGATTTACAAACAAGATGAGTAAACAAAGCTCACTGGACATAACAGATATAGGCACCTCAATAAGAGGTGTAACAACATTATATCCACATAATCAAAACCATAAGAAGAAGAAACACTTAAACGATCGGGAGTATCCAAAGCATTACCAACCTCATCACTATCAACAAGCACAAGCTCACTCACATGATTACTCCCCTTTGGGCCAACCAGAGTCTCCAAATCATTAGAAAATTCATTAACCACCTATATATTATTCTGACAAAGTTCCAAATTTGGCCATTTCACAATGTCCAAATCAATGGCTGAAGGAATCAACTCACAAATTCTCTCACTGCCATCACAAAACAGGTCCTTACAAGTAGAGGAAACATTAGAGCCATCATTGAAAAACCACCATATCATTTAACAAATGATTAGAGACGTCCTTAACCTAAGGTTCAACCGTCTAGCCTCCATTGCAAGGGACAATATTTTCCTAAAAAGAACCATCAACATACACATTTTCTTGTTCATAATCATTAACCTCCAAGGCACTAACCACATCTACAATAGGAGCAACAGTTAAGATAATATCATTTTTTTTTTCATAAAGGATCCACATTTACATTAGCATCCGCATTAACATTACTAACCATATAAGGATGTAAAATGTGAAACTCCACTTTTGAGTGACCCAAAATTTTACAATGAGCATAATAAGAGGGAAATTCATCCATTTCCATAAATTAAATGTAGCCTAGAGTTTAAGAACCAAGTCAGACTTGATCAGGATAATGTTTAGTATCATCTAACTCCACAAGAATAAGTGCAATTGAAGGCCTATACCCATTAGAAGTTGTATTATCCATTCTTAAGGGGCTGCCAAACAAAGAGCTCAAACTATGTAGAATACGGGGAGAAAAGAAGTGAGGACGCAGATTAGGGAAGGAGACCTAACTCGGGATGGTAGGGGATTCCACATTAACATTAAAATGGGGAGTCCACTCGAACAACTTCATGAATCAATTGTTCACAAAATATGATCAATGAGAGAAAACTCTATGGTAGTCTAAATCATTCATTAACTTGATCAAAGCATTCTTCAGATTTGAGTACAGTAATGGAAAAACCACCAACCAATTTCAAGTTAAAGAAAAATCTTCGAATCGCATCTATTGGCGAACGCCGCCCAGGAAACTTCCCAACCAACAAAAATTCAAAAGGCAGTGTTAACGCCATCTTTTTACTTCAAAAATCAACAAAGCAAGCAAGCCATTGTGCTAGGAAATCTTAAGTACAAGAAAATTTGATGAGGAGTCCCCAGATAGAGCATCATGGAAAGAATTAGGTTGCGATTTGTCACCGAAAAAACTCCGGTCTATCAAGCGATTAACTGTCATTCTAACAAAAAAATTCTGCCAAAGGTAGAAAAATAGCAAGAAAAGATAAGGAGAAAGGAAGGAAGTTACCTAGACGAGGCAAGTAAATGAAGATCGAGAGTAGAAAACCCTAACCGGAAGCATTCGAGCAAATGTTGGTGAAAACTGGTGAAGGCACACTAGTGAGTGGGATGCACCGGTGGCTTGGGCATAGCCCTAGCGAAGCGTTGGGGATGAAGTGTTAGGGGAACACGAAAGCCCATAACTTACGCCCAATCTAGAATGTGAAAGTTTCAGTTGACTCTAGAACACAGTCACTTCAGGGATTTAATTAAGTTTGAGTGTAAAATTTCCAATAAGACCTTAAGGCTTGACATAAGTTGAGCTTAAAAAGGCTTTTAAGTAAATGGGATTGAGCTTAGTTAGCCTCCAATTTAATTTGTTCATTTTTTTTGTGGTCATAGCAATGATGATTGGGAGATTATAGTTAGATAATAAAGATCAAGAGTTCATAGTCGGGAAATAATTATTGGGGGATCATAATCAAGCAATGGCAGTCCAAAGGGAAGTTGTTAGATGATGTAGATCTAATAATATTGGTCAAATGATTTTAGTTTGAAAACATGGTTGGATGGTGGTGGTCCAAAGATATTGATTGGATGGCTTTGTCCAATGTAGTGTTTGGGTGATGGCAACTCAACTGTGGATATCTCTCATTCTTCTCTTCAATCCATTATGTCTCATGCATATAATGACGGCCTATTTATATAGTTTAAAAGTGCATTCTTTAATAATATGTCCAAAATCTAAAATAATGCACATAACAACCTAGATTAATTCATTGTATCATTTTTTTCCTTCAAGTAAGCATTTTAATAATGTTGAAATTGAGAAATCGTAAGCTTATTAGATTCATCTCATCATGATATTTGATTTGATTAAACTATATAAAATTTGGATATCATTTAATACTCTGACTAATTTTGGAAATTTCTAACTACATGTTATGTCATGCCTCAAAATATAAATTGAAATAAATTATATCTTTTATTTTTTAATAATAATAACCATAGCTAATTAATTTCTTCCAATAATAAAATACCAACATAAACATATCTATTCATCAAAATATCAATATACATGTGTGTTCATTATTTCAAAAATCTTATACGGAAGCTAGAAGTCATACAAATACAACATATTATTTGACCACTCCTCAGCACAAAAGAATAACTCAAAGAGAAGATGATAGTAAAGAATGAAGAATCTTGTATATGTTCAATCTCACACTCTCAATCTTCTTTCCTGGCCTGAATTCATTAAATCATATATATTGAACTTAAAAAGCCAAGCTGGTCACTAAAACCATATTACTTAACTCAAAGCAAGGAAATGGAACATTATGCATGTAATCATTGGATTCATAGTAGTACTTATATATATATGAGCATAAATATATGCATAAATAGTAAAAGGCATAATGTAGAAACAGTAAAACATATATTATAATAGTAAAGTATGTAAAATAATACAAAATGAACGTTGAAACAGTAAAACTATAAACTATCATTCTTAGACCAAATGTCGTAGCAGTGAAATATCTAT